GTCGGTTTTTTAGCCATAATAACCTAACGTATTTATTTTCTAGTATATATTGTGGAGATGTACTACAACTTAGAATATTTAGATAAATGAAGCTCTCTTACCTTGAATCGGGTGTAATACTCAGGTGCTTTAGACTGCTCTGTTTCTTCTGATTCTGCACACTGTGACTTCTGCTCTACTTCCTTGACTTCTTCAGCCAATTCTGGACTAGGTTTTGCTTCAAGGACAGATCGCAAAACAGTCTCCAAAGCATCAATCTGAAAAACCACATTTGCAATTGTTAACATAAACAGTTTGGAAATGCAATGTAATTAACACCATTGTTTGCAAACAATTTCATGAGTTACCATGTATTTTGATATTACTTCTGTGTATGATAAAAAAGAAAGGAAATGGGACTTATTCTGGGAAGAATTTTGTACTGTACTTGGGACCTCTGAGGTTGAACATTAAATCTCTGCAGCAGCAGAACTCCACCATCCCCTGTCAATAGTAAAACTCTCAGTGATCCAGATGCTGACTGGTATTTGCAGATTTGTCAGGCATTAGGCTAATGTCTCCTCTTGGTCTCATATCCAGCCATAATTACTAACACTAAACAGTAGTCACAGTGATAACAGCACTGACATGATACACAATCACAGATGTTTCTAAATAAGGTACTACTATGGAATGTTTGAAAAAAATTATTTCTAATAGATCATCTCTTACAGCTCTTTGGTGAAAAGAAGCAGGGAAATCACCTGTTCAGCAACAAGAACATTCATTCCAAACGTTAGTTTAATAATTTAACAGGAAAATGGAAATGTAGGCATATAATATATCGGTATATTTTTAATCAATGACACCTCTGTTCTCTTCATGCTTTTGTCCTCTGATGCAGTAAGAGAGCCACCCTCTCCTAATCTAATTGCAGTTGAATCAGAAGAATACATTAGCTTCACTAAGGCACTTGGTAACTTATTTCTGTATGTATTACTGATATAAAAGATGGAACTGCTATATGGAAGCTGCTGCTGCTTTGGGAATAACATGAACTCCATAGCTGGAATTATTTGATGCAGGTTAACTGCATTTTAAAATGCGGCTTTTACAAATGCAAAGAGCTGTTGTCCTTCCATGAATTCTCATTCTAAATGTTTATCAGTAGGATGAAATAACTTGGTGTGACCTTTGAATCTGTGATGCTTTCTCCCAGCAAAAGGGATCTTGATATTTACAGTTTTATCTGCCTAGTGTAAGTACATAATGCTAAAGGAATAAAAATTAGGCTTATTTGAAGTAACATTCCTGACACTGAAATGTAATGTTTAAACTACAGTACTGAAACAGGATTAAATAAGCAATGAAATAATGTGTCTGAAAAGACATACACTTGTTTAAAGAGTTTCTCAGACAATTGAAAAAAATCAAAACTTGTCTTGCTTGTTCACAGTGTAATACAGCACAATACTACATGAGTATAACATTCTTAAGATAGTAATGGCAGAAAGAAGACACACTTCCAGTGAGAAATTACGGAAACTTAAAGCCTAAAAGAATAGTACGTGACTGATATTGATTGGGCAAATCACCTGAGAATGTTTACACCAAAACTGCACAGTTAAAGTTAATTTGAAAACTATGCTTTTAGATAATGAAATTTATTCATCCAGAAAATAATATTACAGTTTGGGAAAAAACCAAACTTGCAAGAGGATAGGGAGGATAAGGCTTAGGAAACATAAGTTTTGTGGCAGTAACACATGCATTTCCAAGGACACGCCAGTAAAATCACTGGCTCATGAACCATGATGTTCTAGACATTACTACTTCTCCTGTCTTCCAAAGACCTCTGAAGTATTGCTGGGTCTCTGCTCATTAGCAAGGTGCAGAATTCATAGGTTTTACTGAAGTTTGGCTTTTATGAAATCCCTTTGCTTCAGCAGGTTATAGCCTTCATACTTACAGCTTCCTTACAGATTTTGCTGTCCCCTGGCAATGAAGCCACATTCTCCATCACTTGCAAGGCTCTATTCAGGTATCCAGGTGTCCACATCAGTGGCATTAGATTGTATACAGCTCTTAGACCTTTACTCAACTCCACTTTCCCTGTGATTAAAAAAAAATACTTTTAGCATTAGTACTTCAACATTTGAGTCTTAATGGAATTGACATGGCTTGCCTCTGTTTTTCAAAAGTATCAGCAGGTGTCTTGGCTTCTATGGTAAAAACAACACACTTCTAAAAAGCTGCTCTGACAGAGCTGTTTATTCACTTATTTTATTAAGATGCCTTCTTTTTGCCCAGCTTCATAGCTATTACTTGTTTGTTTCTGTTTCCTTCCTATTCTCCATCCCCTCTCACCTAGAAATTCTGTCCAGATGGAAAAAAGGAAAAGTGGTCAGGTTTTATGGTTGTCTGGGAGGTGTAACAGCAGCTATAAGCAGGATGTGTGAAGAACTCAGATCAATGTCTCCTTAGCCTTCAAGGACGGACTGTACAGCATACGTGCCCTAAATCTGAGGCTTTGGACTCACCTCTGTGGCCTTTAGGGTCTAGTCACACATGGGTCATGACCAGACTCTACAGTATTTACAGTACAACCCTCTGGCTAACTATACAGTTTAATACCCCTATTTCTACTGGAGCTTCTTGAGAGGAAACACGGGAGACCTGCCAAAATGAAGTTTTGGTTTTTGATTTACAACATTCTGTGCAACAAGGTCTTAACTGACTTAGCAGGACCTGTGATGAGCAGCAGCACTGACGATGTGACTTTTCTTTGATGGCAATTACTAGAGAACACGAAATCCCACATAATGGAAGAAATGCACATCATGTTGCAGTTGGTGAGTACCAATTGGCTATAATGGCACAACGCACAAAACTATGAAACTCTTCTCTTCTTTAAATGGAAGAGAACAGTTTAGGAAAAGCAAGGTAGTACGGACACAGGCAAAGCTTACAGACTATGGCTAACTTAAAATAGCTGAGGTGCTTGAGGTCACTCTGTGACTGTAGACATCTCTTACTCTCTCAGAGGTCGGTTCCATTAGTGCTGGCAGGACTGTGGAATATGTGACATAACAGTAAATAGCTTTTGATGTACTGAATGTCAATGTCATGGAACAAGTACTACTGCTCACTGACAACAGTGAAGTGCATTTTTGAAATACAGCCGCTACTCAATCAATCTGTATCACACAAAAAACACCCGGACCTGAATGCCAAATGGCCAGCAAAGTCCCTATTTGTATCAGTATCTCCTCTGAATAACAGAATACAACTCTATGGAAAATCTTCCCTTCAAATTAATTTTCACATTTATCCCCCTTTTTGATGGAAAATATTTTTTGACTGAGCTTTTGTGTCTTATAGTCAAGATAAATCCAAATCAGCATCCTAACTCTGCCACTACACATCACATTTTGAGGCCACATTTCACGAACAAGTCCACTTTTTATCACCCTTAATAAATTCTATAATAAAATATAATGCAGTAATGGACAACTGCATAATCATAATTTTACATTAATTACTTTCGAGTAATTAATCATTTTGTAGAGAAGGACAAAACCTATCTGCACTATATTCCTCTAAATAATCACAGAATCACAAAAACTCAGGAGTTGGAAGGGACCTCGAAAGA